GACGGTATTCTGAGTTGCAACCGGAATTGAATTTCCAGAGTCATTAGACTCGGAGTGCGTCTTGTGACGCACGGAGACGCCGCCGCTTTTTTTCCTCTTTCTCTCTCTCTTTCTCTTTCCACCGTCGTATTATCCCTCTTTCTCTCTTTAGGTCTCCAAAATGGCCACGCGCAGCCGGCGTAGCGTCTTCTTGGTATAAATACATATGAGAATTGGGTCGCTGGCCTGAACCCCGGCCATCACGCACCGTCTACGATTCTCCTTCTTCGTTAATCCCCTTCCCCGGAAGTGTCGTCTACGAATTCCGAACGCGCGCTTACTTTGCCATTTTTTTCGGGGGAGCTTAATGACGGTTTCCGATATTTGATTATACTATCGCATTTCCGAAGATTATACATACAGTAATTTAAGCGCAAAGATCTTTTCTCGTCTCTAATAATATAAATCGATACATTTTATTATTGCAAAAAAAATATTTTTGCATCGGCAACTCATATCTCGCTTTCTTTCCTTCTTTTATTTCGCATTTCAAATTTCCGGTTTCTATTCCTCTAATTTCAACTTCCCAGAGACGATATTTAAGGATGTTTTGGTTGTACAATAATAGCAAAAAACTGTCAAATTAAAAAAAAAAAACATATTTGTACGTTTGTACTGTTTGAAAAATCAAATAAATAAATCCGGATTATAAAAACAATTAAAGTATCGCAAAATAATATGGTTTTAGGCGCGTCTTCGTAAAAGAAAATAATTGTAATTAATATTTTTCCTAATTTATGACAAAAACTTTTGATTGTGAATATCCCTGAAATGAACTGGAAGAAATTAAAAAAAAAAACAAGTAATTTGTAAAAAGAGAGAGAGAGAGAGAGAGAGACAGACAATATTTTTCTACAATTTTTAGTAAATAACTTTTAAACAAGTAAGTGGATCTAAATCAAGTTTTGCACAAATATTAATTAGAGGTTTCTTAATATATGTGTAAATTTTTATTTCGTTGGCAATGTTTTTTTCTTGTCAAATTTGTCAATAAGTGCTACAACGCGATTTTCCATAAGAATCAATACTAATTTTAAACTTAAATAATTTCTAAACCGAATTGTGTTTAGATTTTGCAAAAATATTCAGAAGGAATAGTAAAACAATCTATGAAATGTTTTTATCAATGTTTCGACATATGACACATACATCCTTAACAAGCGCGATTTATACTTGTCATTTACGCCGTTCTCGAAATGTAGAATTCACTCGGGACGCGTCGCGTATAATAAATCGTATAAAAAAAAAAAAAAAAAAATGTATACATATTGCTCGAGCAAACCGTTCGCGTGACGTCGATTAGATAATTGGGAAGGTGGGCTCGCGTCGAGTCTGTCGTGGATTTGTGCGGATGTACAATCGCGGTTTTGCCGCCTCCGGAGGCCTGGCCCTGTGTGTCTGCCATATGACAATACCATCTGTGGCCCATGCGACCGAGCAACGCGGAGGTACGGGGATCCTGCGATAGGTAGACCTACGACAGGGGTGCGGGAGAGAGCATCTTGCAAGCCTCGAAACCCAACCTTTACGAAACGGAATCGAAAGGTGCGGCGGACGGTGAGACGCGCCCCGAAAAATGCAGCTGGCAAAATATCGCATCCAAATGATGCGGATGAATCGACACGTTCGATTTTTTGTGTGCATGATAAATAAACGTATAAAGTTCGAGTAGATTGTATCTCCGGAAAAATTAATTAAAAGTAGATATAATTGCTCATTAATCATTGATAGTTTATGCCACAAAATTTGACAATCTCTCAGTCTTTTAACAAAGTATTAACTTACTTTGATTCGACTGAATTATATAAAGATACAATTTTTGAATTTCAATTGAAAACACTTGCATGTTTCGTAAATTTTAACTAGTTGCGATAAAAAAAAACTTTAATTAATTAAGATTATGTTTAATTAATTATATTTTTAAAGAGAAGTCACACTTCATTCTATTACCAATAGAGCAGGATGGAGATCAAAGCAGATGTCGCTCAAAGACGGTGTTAGTAAAGGACAGGTCGATAACAGTGTGACCAGTGCATTTAAAACAAATATGCACTCTTTAAAAAAAAAATTTATCATAGTCCTCTGGACTTATATTAAATATTTAATATAGGAAGAATGATTAAAATAAAAAAAAATTCAGTCAAGAGAATAAACTAACATTACATCGAGAATTTATCTCATTCTTTCTATCTAATAATTATAATTTATTTATTGTTTAAATATTTTATAATTTCCTTTTAATATGTATTTACCACACTTTCCATATGTGCTTTCGCAATCGCTAACCAAGCAACGAATGACACTGTCAATTCATATGATATTCCTCAAGAGAGCATTTAAACTGGCCACGTGTAATCGCGATACGATCGACGTCTAAGCTTAGGAAAGCGTATCGCGAGAAAAAGTTTTTCTTTTCGATAAGCAAGAGATTTAAAAAAGGCGATTCTCGTGGATAGTCCACGTTATTACGATAAATTATCCATTACCGGATCGAATCGATCCGTGAGGAAAATTCCCAAGAGAGATTTCATCTCGTTCTCCGTTGACGCGCCAAGAACTGACAGGAGATGAATTAAATCCTATTGCGGATCTAACTTAACCTAACCTCTCTGGAGGAGATTTCTTGAAGGGGCCCCGGGTGCCCCGTCGTCATCGCCGAGACGTCGTTGAACCTCGGCGACGATGATCGGCGTCGCGGTTGACACATGTCAAATGGGCGCGCGCGCGCGCGCGCGCGCCGAATAAAAACGATCGTGCCGGCTTCGCGCGAGAACATCGATAATATACGGAGGGGACAAGACTCACCGCTGTGTCCGGTGTTGCTCGACGATTGACCCATCGTCGTCGTTGTCGGCCCGGCAACGGCGGCGGCGGTGGCAGTGATAGGTAATGGTGTCGGGTGTTTGTAGTACGGCGTTGCGAGACGGGCACGGCGGGCTCACGTGAAAAACCGGACGCATGGGCGCGCGTGAAACGAGCACATTTTTCGCAACAGCGACGGCGGCGGCGGCGGCGACGGATCACCGTCAGTCATGCAGACAAGTGCATCTTGCATCCGCAGTGTCGCTGGGATGCCGACGGGACACACGGGAACGGACGACGACCGCACACGCTCCGCCGCGCCGCGGTCAGCGCGAGCGCCGCGAGATGATTGGCCCGTCGGCGAAGGCGCCGATTTTGCGCGTCGCTTTGAACGTGCCGCAGCGCGGAAATTGATTCCTCTCTCGATGATGCAGGTGTTGCCGCGGTATAGCGCGGATGCTGGCCGCGTTTTCCCGCGTCTCGAGTCAGCGAGATGCGAGACACCCAAGCGAGAAGGGGTTTCATGCTTAAAGTCTACTCTAGCAGAGTGAAAAATAAATCAATTTTAAGATTTTTTTTGAAGGATATTAGAAATCGCTCTTTTTCACGTTTTACATATGCTTAAACGTCAAAATATTTTTAAATCTTGGATATTTAGTTCTTTTTTTGTTTGATACGAGCTTCTGTTGCTTGTTTTGAATAAAAATAGTTAATTATCCAAGATTTAAAAATATCGATGTATTGTTTAAATATCGATAAAAACATATGTAAAACGCCAAAAAGATCAGTTCCTAATATTCTCGAAAAAAAATCTTAAATGTCATCAATTGTTCTTATTGCTAGAGAATAGACAGGGTCTAAATTAGAAAATTATCTTGAATCAATTTTTTTCATTAAAAATGCAAATTGCTTGAAGCAATCAAGAAAGCATTTATTCAAATGCATACGAAATATTCTTCAATAGATAAACGCATATGATTTCTTTAATAGATATCTTTTAAATATCTCGTTTATCGTTATCTAATATTTAATTTAATAATAATTTAATTTAATAATAATTTGATTTTCTTATAAACAATATTTAATTCCATTTATAAAACTCTTCCTATTTTTCAATGACGTATTCAATGTTCAATCATATGTGAATTAGCATTGTTTTATAATACTTATAATTGTAACAAGAAATTTTCCGCATTCTTATCACAGATCTAATTCCGTTATTGATCTTGCCTTACCGAGGGGAGTGGAAACACTCGATGCCACTTAAGGGCCCGAATACTCTGAGCATCTTGGATGAAAGGCACCGAAAAATAAATATATCACAACACTAACCGTACACAACTACAACTGTAAGAATAACGAAATGATTAGAGGAATCAAATGTACGCACACGAGCAGATTTTCGGATCTCGCACCCGTTATAAATTCTAACTACACCCACTATTCGCGTGTCCGCACGTGCGTGTCCCGAGACGGGATCACGCGATTATAGCGTTCAGAGAGTAGTCGCGTATAAAGATCGCTTCGTACCCGGTTTCGCGGCGTATCCTCGCCTGGACGGCAAAGGATGAAAACTTATTGATTCCTCGCTCCGACACCGGCGCTCGTCCAAAGTCATCGATCACCCCTTAAATCTTTGCTTAGGCAAGAGATTGGAGAGTATCGGTACACGGCCGTCGTGCCGCGGATTACCTTGGTAACCGGCCGTCAAAACACTACGTCGACGAGCGTCGTCGGGAAAGCTGTTCGCCAGACGATCATCGACGTCGTCTATGGATCATCTTACCCTGCGACAACGATCGCGACGCTCGATCGGGGTCGGAGAACGTCGTGTCCGCGACTGAGATGATCGTCGACGTGGTATCTGTTCGGTATCATCCGGAATGTAAAAGCTGACGACGAGGAGGAAAGTGCGATTCTATCGGGAATAAGCGACTTAAATTGAAGCATGAACGTAGGGAATCTTTGGATCGTTTGCCTGACCATCCTCGCCTTCTTCCAAAGAGGTCGGTAAATTAATTATACTTCCCCCTCCGAAAATAATAGCAATCTCTCTCTTTCTCGCGATATTGAGATTTTAGATTATCAGATATAGATTATCGAACGCGATGTGCGAAAATCGAGAAAACTACACGGTGTATCTAAGGTAATCTAAGAGTAAGATCAATAACTGCTGAGCTTCAAGTATATGCCACGTGTATAGTTTGTGCGTTTTTGTATAAAAATAGCGCCCATCTGGCGCCACTCGAGCTCTCAAACACTTTGTCGAGAGATCTTTTTTGCCACGCCGAGAGACGACGTAAAAATCCTTGGCGCTTTTACACCTTGCTATTGGCGAATAAATTTTTATATCTAACGCAAACCATCTGGAAAGACAAAGTGTTTTGAACGCGAGAGATGTATGTGTCCGTTAAAAATTTTAGAATATTTTATCTATCGCGTTCTCTTCCTCATCCCGTTCCATGATAAACAGAGGGCAACTTGTCTCACCCACAGGGTGGGCCATCGACTGTTTCAAGTGCGTCTCGATCGATGGCGATAACAAACCATGCGATGACCCATTTCACAACAATGGTAGCCTCGCTTTCTTAGAATCGCCCTGCCTTGGAGGTCGAAAAGGCCGGGACGGCCTCTTTCCAGCGACAGCCTGCATCAAGATTGCCGGCGTATATGGTAAAGTATAATTAGGGCAACCGAAATATTTACATCTTCTCATATTTCTGAATATTTTTCTCTTTCTTTTGTATATTACTACCCAGACAGCCCAAGAAGGCTAAAAAACATCTTAAGGATGTCTAAAGGACGCTAAGACATCTTTAAATCGTCTTTTAGGGACACGTGCTGTCTGGGTATAATCGATAAAAATCCAGCCACGTGTCCAGAAATATATGAAGTCTTGTATCTTATTATTAATCGATTATCCGATTATGTCAGATGAATCCGGGGTATCCCTCATGGTGAGAAGCTGCGCGTTAGACAGTGGAACTTTGACGACGGACTCCGAGATTATCAGAATGTCCCACTGCGGTGGTTTTTACTTTGACAACAAGTAAGACTCTTATGGTGCGTGTTCACCTGCGAGTAGAACTCTCGAGAGTAGCTCTCGAGAGTGATTATCGCAAATGGACATACCCTTGAATTAGATACTCTCAAAAGTATGTCCATTTGCAAGAATCACCCTCGAGAGATTTACTCTCAGGTGGACACGCATCATTATAGCAGCGCGATACGAATTAAAAATTAAATATGTCCATTTGCAAGAATCACCCTCGAGAGCTACTCTCGAGAGATTTACTCTCAGGTGGACACGCACCATTATAGCAGCGCGATACGAATTAAAAATTAAAAAAAAAAACGCGCGACCGAAATTTATATTGTTTTTAAACATCGATGAACGTGCTTTTCGTAGATACGTTCGCGGATGCGTGCAATCTTGCAGCGATGCAGACGCTTGCAACGTGTCGTCGAGGAATTTCACACCACTGATTGCCTTAATATTGCCGATCCTCACGGGGTTCGCGTAATTTACGTCACGCGAAAATAGGAAAATTCGCGAATACGACAAGTCATCACTCGAAGAACGAAACAGTCTGGATGTAAGAAAATGTGGACGGCGGTTCTCTAAGAGATTAGCGGCAAACGTTGTAGTAATTATATTAATGTACGACCATAATTAATATGATGATCTTTCATTCGATTTCATTAAGTCTTACGATACACAAAACAGACTACATAGTGAATACTGCCAGATTTTACGATTAAGCTATACATTGTTATTGTTAAATAGTAGGTCACACGTTATTTACTCTGGCTATCACTAGCTTTGCGTATGATACATTAATTCCAGCTTGATATCAATAAAGCATATCTTAAATTGTTAAACATACACACTTGCATTCTGCTTTCCCTTGTCGCGAACGTAAATAGTGCACGGGCAATTTCAGATAACGTGAGATCTCTGTCGTTTTTTGTTTCGTCGAAATTAATCGATTCATTTCTTCAATTTTGGATAATCGACAGCTTTACATACGGTTCATGAAATTTTTATACGATATAAAGTGTAAATTTTAATGGTAAGGATCGATCATGAAAAACTGGATAACCACCAGTGCCTCCGATCAATTTGTGGGCTCCTTCTGGCGAATCTTCTGTTGGCTATGGGAAACCCTCGAACTCGTCCTCATCATCGTACTCGACTGCTTGGCGAGGCTAATTGAGCTAATACTCGTGATGATAAATTTAATATTTCAGGTGACGGATTTTGCTTATGTTTTAAATGTGTCGGGATAATAATAAATAATAATAAATAAATAATAATAAATAAGATCCGCAGGAAGCGGGAGTTGTTCGAATTTTCTGATTAAAATTAAAAACGTATTTTTCGATTCACTTCGATTATAATATAATCATGAAATGATACGAGATATAAACTTTTCGAAGAAAGAATTCGCGGAGAACGACTATTAGCAAGAAATAATCGGATTTTTTAGGTGATCTGCTTTCTCAGGGATTTATGCATCGACGCAATGCAGACATTCGCCAATGTTTTCCGTGGGATCGTTAACATCATTAGCAACATCAACCGCGACGATGTCGAGGACTTTGCCTCTGCCTGCATCGTCGTAGTCTTATGCACCGGAGCTGTTAAAATGTTCATGGACATTCTAAAGCGGGTATACAGCACATGTATCGCGCGATAATCATTACTGTCAATAATAGATAGACGGCGATTCGCACGCTGATAATCGAATGATCAACCGTCGCTCACGAATTAGTAAACAATTATGCTTATCATCCTTGAATTTTATAAAAAGTGTGTAAAAAAAGTTATCATTCGAGATGATCATTCTCAAAAACAAATATCCGAACAATTAGAATCAAAACAGGACATTTGCATTTTAAAAAAAGAAAAGGTTTTATCTCTTATTTATATATATAACAATCCTCAATATGTGATTTTTAGATGCAAATAGAATCTTGCGTAGGTATTCGGTCTTGGCAAACTATTTTCTACTATTTTTATACGACATTTTGCAAATGTGATACTACTTTTTAGAACCGTCGGACACGACGAAGCGCAGGAACTTTAAGCCGTTCGTGCGCGTGTCTCGCGAGGAATATCACTGCCATGTGACGTGGAAGGTTGCGGTACAAAAACCAGGTAAACTATTTTCTAAACTATTGTCTTGATTTTCATATGGGTTAAAACCTCTTGAAATCCATGTAGTCGCATATGTCTTTGTCTTTATCTGGTTTTTGATCCGACAAGAGTCGCGTTTAATTACAATGTTTAAACGTTCAATGTCGCAAATGGTTTTAACGTTCTTGTTGATTATTTAAATTATGCATAAATGCAAAACTCACCCAATGGTGAAATTAATTCATCCTGAAGATCGTCAGAGTATAGAAAGAGTAATTGCATCGTTGTAGCCATCTTATTATATGTAAAATAATATGCACACTCTCTGATTTCATATATTGAGATGATGATTCTTCACATTTAATGTCTCGCGACTCGAACGTTGACATATATGACCGATCTCAATGTCATATCGATATTTCAGAATCCCCACACGAAGCTGTTCAATGTGTTTGGGCAAAGCGTGACTCAGATCGGTAATAACAATAATCCGATGACAAGGAGTCACGGACAGGATGCATGTCCTTCTGAAAGAAAGACAGGCAGAAGGATAAGGCAACGAAATAACAGACGATCGGTCAGTACCAGAAAAGGATAATTAAGATTCTTTTTCAAATATGTTTCGAAGTATTTTTGCGAGGTATTTACATAAACATTTATTGTCCGTAACAACGTGTAAGACATATATATCAAATATAACTTTGCTGTAAAATATATAGCATATAATTTATATTTTATCATATATACATTGTTAAATATGTGCGTGCAAAAAAATTTCACAACACTTAGTAAATGTTGTTTCTGTGATATTATCAAATTTAAACAACTTGACAAGTGTTGCAGAAATTTTTTGACATGTATGTAAGCATCAACTTGTAAAAGAGAGACATTGGAATCTTTGTAGAAAAATATAAGATTCTGTACTATAAAAATTATATCTGGAAACATGCGCGCGCAAATCTCTGCTTTTACACATTGATGAACAATAATCGATTCTCTTAAACACATAAAAAGGCATATAAATTACAAAATCTTACGCTATCTAGTCATGGAAAACATCGCCGTTATAAATAGAAGATTCGTTCTGCAACAGGATTGCGTTCGATAATACTTTTATTGCGTTGTCTTTAACTTAAATATATGCGAAACGATATGGAGAATGATCTTTGTAGATTGTGCCGACGCACAGCTTTAATCGTTGATGATGGTGATGGCTAAATTATATTCCGGCCAAGAAAACGTCTTTGGCAATTGAATCTGTAATAAAATATATCTATATATGTTGATGCCGAAATTAGAGTCGAAAGATATTTTGAGATCGACGCGTTCCGATCGAAATACGCTGTATGCCATTGCAATTTCACACATTATTACCTTATCCGGTGCGTTCAAAATTTGGAATTCTTCGGCCATTCTTTCAGATAACTCTTCCGAGAGGAGCACTTGCAGCCACGGACCTTGAACAACGTACGGTCTGTCCTTGGACACGAAGGTACCCGTGACCGATGGCGCGACTATCGTGATAGCCGTATGGGACAATATGGATTTGAATGTGAAATGCCTCCCGTGCATCACACGGCCTCTGCAACGATAATTATTACATTATTCATTGGACGTCGCTGTCGAGGCGCTCGCGAGAACTCTGCTTCTGTTATGACTAACTTTATTGCTAACGGCAGTAACGAGCCGGCTTCGAGGTTGAACGTTAGGTGTAATCCGGACAGAACTCTAATACAATTTTCATCAGAGACGGTGTGTTTCTGCTCGCATGGCGAAAGCCTTTCCGTTTTTACGATCGGTTTCACGTTCTCCTCCTCGTCGTCGGAATCGTTTCTTCTCTCCCTATATCTCTCCGCGCTCTTGTCGTTCGTTATTTGAACCCACCTGTAAATATATAACTTTTAAAATTCCAATCAAATCGAGATTCTCAAACCATTTTCCAATTTTTTCAATCTTTGAACTCACCAACATTTGGCAGATACACCACTCGTGTTCGATCCATCTCTTTCGATGCCACACTGTATCTTCTCCGCTATAGAAGGATCGTCTTCCATGGCGGAATGCATTCTTCTCATGTTCGTGAGTAACCATGGACCGCAATCCTGTGCACTTTTTAATAAATTTACGACACCTGGACCGTTCCAATGTTGAGCCGCCTGCAATTCCTCGGAAGTAACGCCGACAATTTGAACAAATGAAACCTAACAATAAGAAAATCATCTTATTTTTGATATCTGAAGTGCATATTCGATCTATGCAATTTAACGATAGTCAGATTACAGATTTTGTTTCTCGGACACACGAAGATCCTATTCTCGAGAATCTGAAAATCGTCTTATCCTTATGCAAGCTCGAGCGTCTTATACGTACGTCGCCATGAGGCGTAGAAATCGTTTGTAGTTGGGGGTCCTGTCCCATCAAGATCTGGGTGATACGACCGTTTCCGCCGTCCAACGGAGCGTGCCAAGAAACGTGGTCACCCGGCATCAACGTGTTCCCGGAATTGAAAACATACTTGGCTAATTGCTGCATCACATTCGCCGGCCATGTGGGCGGCGTCATCTCGCCCCTTTCGCGGACGAGCCGGAAAGTTAACTCGAAACCGAATCCGCTGGGACGACCTGGACAAGGTTTGGGATGCAACCGACCGTCGCCGTGTAGATCGGACAATCCTAAACTGTATTTAAATAAATAGAGAAATATAAAACGTGAGAATAAAATAAAAAAGTAAATATCCTGTTCTCTCAAAGAAAAGTCATATATAATATAATCTCTGCATTTGATTAAAAAAAAGAAACAAATCGCGTTGGATAGCTAACTACTGACTTCAATAGTAATACGGGTGGCACGAAAGAAAAAGCAAGAGCGACCCTCAGCTGTACCCGGCAAAAAGTACATAGACATTCGGTCAATGGCGATGTATAATTAGACGGCGCAGACGAAAAAGGGAAAGTCCGGCGCTTCTATTTCCGACTCCCCGCGCTTTAAACGACTTTGTTCCTCCTGCGCCCTACACGCCCTCCCCCTCTTCTCTCTCTTCATCTCCCTCTCAGAGAGAGCGGAGATGCGGAGCGGTATTGGGACAGCTGTTTGAAACTGAAGAAGCAAGGATCGTCCCGGCGCAGAGAGGGAAAAAAAGAGCCGGCACCCTTTTGGCGGAAGGTCATTCGTCATTCGGTACACAGATTCCAATAAAATGTCCGAGAGAAATATATCGTCTACGTAGTTCATATGTCGTATCTGCCATAGTTTGCATTCCAATTAAATTAAAACGAATGTGCGCGGATCTCAAGCTTTATTTAATAAACATATCTTAGATAATGTATTTAAGTTTGCGTACAAAAATAAAAGAAACACAACTTCTTAAGTTCAATCGATGGTTTCTAAATAATAATAATAATTGAAAAATAATAATTGAAAATAATAATTGAATAATAGAGTAAATAAATCGCTTCAACTTTTCGAGATTAAGACAAATTATACGGTTTTTCCAAGACACATTATATAAATATTACAATTGGCATACAGATGTAATGATCCTCACCTGACATAGTGCCAATGTGGAGGTACTCCAAGCTCGGGACATCCTGGATTAGCGTACATGCTAATATAGTCGAGAGCATCGGGCCCTCCTAGCCTAAACGAGAAAAATACATAGAAAATTCGAATCAGCTGACACAGGACATCCGGTATATAAAAAGGGGGGGCTAAATATAGTTCACGTAATCGACGTTTCTCAAGAGGGAGGAATGGAAAAAAAATGAGTTTCTACGAATACTTTGTAAAGAACTATATCTCATATTGATTTCAACATTAGCTTCATAAAATAATTAAATAAAATTCGATATACATGAATATATCACCTAACAATCAAAAAAATAATATCGATGTACATACATAATAACAAAGCCAAAAATTATATGTATAAAAATTAAATAAAACGGTATTAATTAATAAATTAATTCAAAATAATTTTGCAAAATATAATTTAAAATTGAAAAGATTGAGAGAAATTAAATACAATTTAATTAAGCAATCGCTAAAAACGAACTTTGACAAGGCACAACGTGTACATGAAAAAATCAATCGTTAACGACTACCTGGCAGGGACACCAGTTGCTACAAGTATCCTTGGGCTTTTTAAAAAAATGATAGATTTTCAGTATTTTAACGGCAAGGGCGACGCCACTTTTCGCGTGGCGTCGTCGCTGCGTGCTTACCAATATTTCACGATTGCCGTGACCGTTAAGGGATTAATCTGTTCAGGATAGATCTGCCGACATAGGTTGTACAGAGCGTCAAGACCCGGAGCTCGTGGCGGCGGCAGCGGGGCCTGGACCGGCTGACCTGGCGGAAAACTCCTCGTGAACTCTTCGCATTCACGCATGATGTTCGTGTTGTACATCAACCCGGCGGGATACACGCGCCTGCTACGCGCTTTGTTTACTCGGAAGGGGTACACACGAAACGTTCACCGACATCAGCCACACTGACAAGACAAAAGCGCGATCGCCTCGAACGAGGATTACATAGGCTGCGAGATGGGAGGGCGAACATAGGCTGCGGTCGAGAAGACGCTAGAAATGCTTCGAAGAGTTTGATTGACCAATCAGGACACAAAGAATAAAGATTTCTTTATTCTGATTGGTTAATGCAACGCCTCGAAGCATTTCTAGCGTCTTCCCGACCGCAGCCATAGAGGCACAAACGCATCAGACGGTAAAAGTTACTAAGTTACTAGCCAATCGATTCCCGTGATTGGCTCCGCCATACTTAGGGTCAATTTCACCAAGTCCGGTTAGATTAACCGACGGTTAAAATTAGCAGGGTTCCAACTGAAATGATAAGAATGCTTGGTTTTCCTTCGCCTCTATTTTCTGTTGGCTACCCTGCTAATTTTAACCGTCGGTTAATCTAACCGGACTTTGTGAAATTGGCCCTTAGCCGGACTCGTGAATATTTTCAAATAAGATTTCGATCTGAATGTAAATTACGAAGCATATGCAGATTATAAATTAGAGCAGAATTCAATAAAATTAATATACGAATAAATATGTTAAATATAAAAGATTTAATCATTTAAAATGTTTATACAATAGGCTCATACCCGTTCATATCATTAAAAAAAGTTAAATTGTAATTAAAAATATCAACTGGATACAAAGCTATCCTTTATAATATTCGGGAAGCGAATTACTTCTTTTGCTTCTTTTTAAACAAAACATTGGTGTTGCTTTCATGTTCATGTTCATACACAATTTATTCTGTTCTGCATTTAAAATTTAAATTATCCAAGCAAATGTTAACTCTACAAATAGAAACATTGCCGTATAAATTGTCAAAATCATAACAGATCTACATGATTTATACCATGATCTACATAATTTATACCATGACCGCTTATCCTTCTATCAAGGCTCTTCCATGATAAGCTTCTAAATGAGCATAGAAGTTTGTATGCGATCGTGGTGCAGAGAGCTATGCGTCTGCTCTCTGTGCCGAAGAGCTCTAGTTCAAATCCAGCCAGAGCCAGAATAAATATCGTTGTATTGTTTTATAACGTGATATATGACTGTTGAAATATCGAACGTAAAATCGCACACAAAAAAAGAATATGTTGACACTGGATAACTTTGCTGTGTTTTTACTTGCACTTAAATGCAGCAATTGACATATTATCTTTGCTATATGTATGCTTGTTGTACAAGAGCGATAAGCTATCCGACACCTACTTATTACGCTCATTTAGGAGTGTATCACGCAAGATCAATGATATTATATGGGATAATATATATGATAAACTGGTATAGGTATTATACAGGATAATATATGAAAATCTTTTTTTGAGGCATGTGGGGGGATGGGACCCGAGCGGAATCGAACTTGGAATCTCTCTCGATTGCCAGCCCGCGACTCTACACCCGGCACCACGCATCGCTTCAATAGAAGGGTAAGATCAGGGGTTGATAGAGATTGATCATGCTATAAATCATGCAGATATAATTTCGACAATTTATATAACAATATTTCTATTTATAGGATCAACATTCGCTTGGATAATTTTAGAAACAGAACAAATTACTGACGAAATTAAAAGGCATGTATTTTATTTAATAAAACAAGATAGCATATCTCCAATATTGATGAAGGATTATGACGTACAGGATAATATATGAAAATCTCTTTTTGAGGCATGTGGGGGGATGGGACCCGAGCGGAATCGAACCTGGAATCTCTCGATTGTCAGCCCGCGACTCTACACCCGGCACCACGCATCGCCCCAATAGAAGGGTAAGATCAGGGGTTGATAAAGATTAATCATGCTATAAATCATGCAGATATGATTTCGACAATTTATATAACAATATTTCTATTTGTAAGATCAACATTCGCTTGGATAATTTAGAAACAGAACAAATTACTGACAAAATTAAAAGGCATGTATTTTATTTAATAAAACAAGATAGCATCTCCAATAGTGATGAAGGATTATGATATATGAAGGATTGCTTTGTATTTGTTTAATATTTTAATAATTGTTTTATAATTTAACTTTTTTTAATAATATGATATAGATACAAGCCTAATATACAAACATTTTAAATGATTAAATTTCTAATTGATGATAACGTTTTGATGCGGAAATGTATCTAATACATATTCATTCCAAACTCAGTTAATGATAAAATGTTAATATAATCGTTTTTCCTTTTTTATATTCTTAATTGTTATATTTTTGAATTATCTTGTCACAATAATAATTATCAAAAGTTTTCTCTTGATATTATTACTGTCAAGATTTATTGCTATTTTATAATATAATTAATTATATTTAACACAATTTTTCACACAATTTAACACAATTAATTATATTTAACTAATTATTCTAAATTATTATACATATGTTTGTGTAATTTCAATTTTTGTGACAATTTAAGTGACAATTTGTATTATTTTTTTTGTGATTTTATCTATATATTTTGGATTATAATTTTATAACTGTACACATACGCGCACACAATATATATATATATATATATATATATATATACACAAGTATGTGTGTGTGTGTGTGTGTAATTTACATTTAGCATAATTTGCATTATTTTCTTTTTTTGTTTGGGATTTACGACTTTATATATTACTTACATATTTATTCCTAAACATTTATATACTTATATAATATTATATACTATTATAACAATATTAAAATTGAAAAGAGCAATAAAACAATACACCGAACAATAAAACTACACTGAGTTAATTAATTAAAAAAAAACACATAATGTCATGTTATATAATTTAACATTTATTTATCAGAAGTCAATAAGTTTATTAAAATGATACTTGATAAAAAAAATAGTAAATCTTTCGCAACAGGCCATTAAGGAATTACTCATGTGTTATCTTGATGTTGTGAGCTAGTGCTCTCCAATTGGTTCATCGTCGTCGCTGGACCGCTGGTCCACTAGTTTATTGAGCTTTACTACCCCATTATGTTGTCAAGATCGATATTCAATCTCGAACCAGCCCAAGTCGAGCCAACTTGCGTAAAAGATGACGTATTGCTAGACGTTTGACTTTGAATATTCATAAATATAGGTAGATTTATTACAGGTGACAATCCGATCGTTCCTAAATATGACACTAATCTTTAATCTAATTTATAATATATGCATTGTGATTGTTGGCTCATATTAAAATTGTCTTTCAATGAAAAGTTACACAAATAAAAAATAGACTCATTTTATTCTTCTATTACAATTTATTTTTATATTATATAATATTAAAATATTGTATTAAAATTTTATTCAATATAATGTATATGTTATATAATATGAATATAAATGAAAATAATCATGATAGTCGCATTATAAATATATATTTAATATTAATTTTATGTCAATGAATTGAACATTTTATTTCATAAAATTCAAATTCTTTCAATGTTGTTAACAATATATGTATATTATATGATTTGATTTATTTGATTGAATCAATTTTTAAAATTACACTATACAATAAAGCCTTCATTTTAATTTTTATTACATGTAATCGCTTCTTTATAAAATTGTGAATTTTACAATGTAATCTTTTTTTATAATTTAAATAGAAAAAATTATTCTGAAAATAAATGTATTCTATATGTAAATGTATGAGCGTCAGCGTGAAAAGACACCTAATAATACGTTATGTATAATACGTGTCCAACCCTGCCGGTACCTAAACTGGTGACATTTGAATTCTGATGCAGTGATTTCTGGTGACATGCATTCAAACGTATTTCAAAGATCGAAACACCGAATTGCTCTCTAATACATTATAAAGGGTTATATATATATATATTTACCTATGCTCTTTTAATTCCGAATTTCACTCCAGAAACGTATTCTTTTTTATGAAAAACAATATATTTTCATATATATGCATATAGCAGGTGCAACTTATTATATCCAAAGAATATGTTCTACGTTCTATAAAATATTATTCTATTATTAATAATATATATTTGTTAAAGTCGAAACATTTTAAAGATGTTAAAACATTTAAAAAAGTTTTTCAAAATAAAAAACACGTAAAAATATTTAGTGACTTTTGTTTCTAAACTGTGACCTTTGAGCTTCATCTAGGGACACGCCGAAATTCTGCGTTGGCAACGCTGAAGGTGCCGACAGAGAGCAGAGAGTTGCGCTACTGGATATACTGTGTCAGACGTGCCAGAGGCGTTTCGTGAATCGTGAGGATCAGTGAGAATTGAGAATCGTTTCCGCAACGGTGCTCGCTTGGAGGGACGCGCAGTTCGCATATGCCTGTTCGAGGCCAGTTCGCAGCAGCAGCTTCGGTGGCCGACAGCGTGAGCAGCGGATCTGTGCGCGCAAGCGTGACGCAAAATTCACGGCATGGCGGAACGCAAGAAAAACAGGAAGCGAAAAGATGTAAGGATCGCATATGGGCCGCAGATAATCGCGGACAACGATTTCGATTGGTTAATTCGCGTTCGGACACGTTTGACACGTACCGTGTCGACTCTTTAAACGCGCCGATAAACGTGACGTGATCTCGCGTGACGTAGATCAGCGCACGCGATGCTTTCCGATCTGAAAAATCGTGAATTAATTCGTCCTCTTCCTTTTGTCAGTCTAATTCGTGCGCGGCGTACAAAGCGTAATTCCTCCCGTCGAATTTTCTGGGTCGACGATCTAACGGAAGTTATTATTTGCAATAGGAAGTGGCGAGTTTGGACACAAAGGTTGCCCAAGACAAGCCATCCAAGGAGGAGTATGCTGTAGCAAAGTGGATACGCAGCAATGTACCATCGAAGAAGACAAAGTTTGATAGGACTCACAATGTCGAGTACTTTACTGGATCACGTGCGATTGATGCTTTATTGGAAAATTCACCCTGGAGCACGGTGTTTGAGAGTCGGGAGCAGGTCTCCCAATTCTTGGACCTGATGTTGAGGCACAAGTTCTTTCATAGAGCCAAGAAAGTAGTGATTTCGGAGGAGGAACTCAATAAAATGCGGGGCATTAAAAAGAAGGCTAAAGATGACAAGAAACCTGAAAAGGAAGATTTGAAGGAGAATAAAGATGCAGTTACTATGAAAGATGAGAAAAGCGAAGAGAAAGAGGAACGAAAGGAACATAAGAAAAAGCCAAAAGTAATATAGTTTAAATATAATCTTTTCCTCTTTTTTTTTCGCAATAAAAAAGCATGTTTGTTTCCAGGTAAGACTAGAAATGCATATGGATCAGTTCTTTGTGGATTGTAACGATGCATATGTGTGGATATATGAGCCAATTCCTGTGTATTATTGGTTTTTCGGCACATTGGTAGTCTTAGGTGCGATAGGGGTCTGTCTCTTCCCATTGTGGCCGTTAACTATCCGTCATGGCGTATATTACCTAAGCGTCGCCGCCGCGGGATTCCTCGTATTCATATTAGCATTGGCTATTATCAGAATGATTGTATTTTGTCTTCTGTGGGTTCCCACATTAGGTCGATGTCACTTGTGGCTACTGCCTAACTTGACGGCCGATGTTGGCTTCTTCGCATCCTTCTGGCCATTATATCAGGTTAATAATTTTCTTTATATTTCTAATTGTCATGGTATAACAATAATATAAATTTATTAACGCGAAAATATCGTTTCAGTACGAATATTATGGCCCAACGTCCGATAGTGACAAGAAAGTCAGTAAAAAGAAAAGAAAGAAGGAAAAAGATTCCGATTCTGAGGATGCGCCATTATTTCATTCGTAAGTCTCGCGATTTATATAATTAATTGAACATATTACTCACAAAATGTATATATCTAATATTATATAATTTATAACTTTTCAGAGAAGAGACATCTAGCGCGATGGAAGCGCCTAAGGAAGAAGAGCGAATCGAGGAATTATCTTTGCCAAGTGAGGAGAGGAAAGCTTCGTCTGACTCGGCAGAAGGAGAGGACGGCAGCGAGGAAGGCTCGGAAAGCGAGAAATCGAATACAGGTCGAGATTTTGTTATGGTTTAAGACAGGTAGGCTGGGCAATCATGTTTTCTGGAACAAACAGCTAGTATTAATTGTCGCATTAATCATCGCTGAAACCGATATATGCTTGCGGTGCGTTAACCCGGTCATCGGACTTCAATTTAACGCACGGATTTGAGAAACCGATCATAGCAGATTCTCCAGATTTTGTTGCATTTAAGTACGATCAAGGACGAGTGAGCAGAAACCGCTTGTGACTTTTGCATGAGAAAAGAATTTCCAATAACTGGTGTGTGATTGTAAAATATTATATTTAGAAAACGTGTGATAAGGCATATTTTATTCTATGTGTGTAATTCGAAAGAATCATTATTAGGTGTTATTGAGCGTATATCTCTCTCAGTTTCCATTGAATAAATTATGAGTATTGTTCCAAGTCTTCAATCTCTCAACGCGATCCATGTCTACCGACAGTTAACATATTGTAGTTAATTAATTTTACAAGGAGTCCTCTCCGTTTGATGTAAATCATTTTGAATCCAGGGAGAGAGATGATTTAGCTGGAAGAGAAGGAATCTTTACGGGTACACAGAACTTGATGTTTTCTTCGTCGTTCGTCAATTTAACGCGAATTCCTTTTTAGCAGAAAAGAGATCCAATTTTACAAAGAAATATATTTTCCCGATTTGATACAGACGAATAATTTATATTTTTATGCGAAATTTCTAATGAATATCATTGTTATTATTATGATTATACTTTGCGATTATACCATTATATCAAGATCTATACGTAGATCTACCGGTCGTTGAGTTTATCTATATCGAAATAAAGATAAAATAAAGCGTTATCTATTAAATGATCATTGTCTTTCGAGATGCGATCCCATGGATTAAATTAAGTGTAATTGGCCTTGGAAGTGATCTCGCGCAGCATCGCGTTGCACATGGCCGCGTAAGGGTTCAGAGCGACCAATTGTGATTTAGCGAAGCTCGAACCAGCCTTGGCTGCACGTACGAAGTCTTTCTTGGCCTCATCGTCCTGTCCCATCCATCGGTAAAGAGCGCCACGTTGACAGAGCGCCTGGGTGCCCGCTCTTC